GTGTGTGTGTGTGTGTGTGTGTGTGTGTGTGTGTGTTCGTTTATATATGGGATCGGATTTCCTACATTTTTCAACCGATTTCAACAAAACTTCACTTTTTTTTTGGCAGGTAGTGTTTCTTATTGTCTTGCACACTTTTTTCTTTATTTTTACATTCAGAATGCTTTAAAAATTCCATTTACAAGACAATTGTTTATAATAAAATTCTATTCAATCGGTAGACTCATAACGATTGAAAACAATGTTTTTGTCTGAGTTCGGGTTTGACCAATTCGTAAAAAAAAAAAAAAAACTAATTAAGACATGCCTGTCCGTCAACGTTAAACAATTATTTTTGTCAATTTTATTTTTCAGTCTTTATGATGGTCGATACTTGATCTATCTCTTACTGTTACATCCCCGGGCAACGCCGGGTTCTACTGCTAGTAAGAGATGTAGAAGAGTAGAACGTATTACACTGTTCAACACCAATTTTATTGTCTAAATATTTTTTATCTGATTTAAGATAACCCAAAAGCCACATTGGTTTTGCTCAATCAGGTTAACTTTTTGATCTGTGGCTACATGCTGTTTTTTTGACGTTTTTGTTTTGTTGTTATGTTCATTAAAGTATCTAAATACATTTTTTCGGGACAACTAGAAATTACTAGTTATTTAATTCAGGAGCCAATTTCTCAGGAATAACAGTGTAAAAAAATCAAAATGCTTGAACTCAACAACAGTCTCTCAGATTCCAATAAGGGTCATGTCACTCTAACTACTGATATTCAAGCCCTCATTCGCTTACACACACACACACTCACACGCACACAAACACACACACGCACACATACACGCGCACACACGTGCGCACACACATACGCTCACACACATACACACACATACAGGCGCATACACGCATGCACACACACACATACACGCGCACACACATACACGTGCACACACGCACACACACGTACACACGCACACGCATCCCTACACACACATACACGCGCGCACACGCATGCATGCACACACATACACGCACACACATTTATGCACGCGCACACACACATATACACGCACACACGCGCGCGCATACACGCGCACACACGCACACAAACACGCACACACACACACACCCGCGCATACACGAACACACACACACACAAACACGCACACACCCACACGCACACACTATCAAGAAACAATTCATCAGCTTGGTGATCAGGATCAAACTTAGGCGCCACACATGTTATATAAGACACGGACAGCTTATCCGCATTGGTGGACAAAGGCCAAGAAGTGTTTTGCGAGCCAACAGACTATAGCACTGACAGCTACTTCTGCGCTATTGATGTGGCTGGGACTTAACAGAAAGAACCGGGTTAACCTCAAGTATTGTGATCTTCAATCAGTACGTCGTCCTGTAGCTCATTGTGAAGAAATTCCAATACCTGTCTTTGGAGAACTTCCTGACACAAGGGAGAAAGATTTCTCAAGTGTTCAAGAAGAAGAAAAAGAAGTGGTTTTTGACAATGATACTCCACATGCTTTTTTTCCCAACAGGAACTAAATGATCTCATTCATAATCTCAGCTTCTCAAAGTTCTGTACCGCTGATCATTCTAAGGGTTTAAATAAATGGCATTTCAAGCGCTGAATTTTGAACTATGATAACGTAACATGCAATTTATATGGACTTACATTTATCAATGTATAATATTCAATTTATTGTAATCGATATTTGTAACATTTTAATTCATAAATTGTATTAGAAAACATTTTTTTCTCTTGCAAACTTATTTCGTATGAGAAATATTAACAAAATTCAATCGATAATGTCACAAATATGTAATCGATTTAGTCAGAAGATCAATTTTTTTAAAAAACTCAACATAGCACAAAAACATGACCAGGTTGAGAGAAATGGGTGTCATTTTCGGATTCAGCGGTGAAATATTGTCCTAAATCATTTGGAAAAAATATAGACAACTTTAAAAAAAATGTGTTTGTTTTTGTTTTATTTTTGTTGCCCCGTGTTATCTAGCATTTGAATATTACATTCCTGAGATGGACATCGTCACGAAGAGAACATGAACAAGATCGTTGAGGCTTTCCCACGCAGCTGCGGTACGAATGCAGTGTATCCATAGCGAGATAGCAGCCATTCCAGTTAATACACTAAGATGCACTGTGTTTGAAATAGAGAGCGAGCTTGTGTATGTTTTCTTCGTGGTGGCGAACATCCGAGGGATGTAATATTCAAATCTCTTTGAACACACATACAGACACGCACTCGCAAACACACACAGACATAGACATATTATTAAATTAAACATATTCTTTGTGGATAAGTGTTTTTGAATTGGCAACACGTTTTGTTTTTTTTTTTTTACATTGGGTATTATTCTTATAGGCCTACGCAATGGAATCAGAAAAAAGTATCTCCTACAAAAGTGGCGCAGGTTCAAATCCTACAGGGGATAATATTTTTGTGCTTTCTAGAGTGCGCAGAAGAGTATATATAACACACAACGTTTAAAGACAAAGGGGATGTCTATTCAAATACGGGTATCCTCCAAAAAGTATAAAAATGTATTAAATTCCTTATATATATATATATATATATATATATATATATATAATTATTTATTTAAAAATATGATTCCTTCGCTACATAATTTACCTAACGAGTTCTTTTCTATTTACTATATATTTTCTATTCAAATACGCGTATCCTCCAGAAAGTATAAAAAATGTTGTATTAAAAATCCTTCTATATATAAACATATATATATATATATATATATATATATATATATATATATATATATATATATATATATATATATATATATATATATATTCCAAAATATGATTTCTTGGATACCTTATTTACCTAACGAATTCTTTCCTATTTTCTATATATTTTCACACACACACACACACACACACACACACACACACACATATATATATATATATATATATTCTCGATTAAATTGATTTACCTAGACTTACGGCCATATAGCGCTGAAATAACCTGAAAAGGGTTGAAAATGACGTAAAAAATAAATCAAAAGTAATTTGACTTATCTCAGTGAATTTCTTATATTATTTGAGTATTAATTGATTTAATTAAAAAAAAGTTACTTCTTACTAACCCTTTATTAATTCTAGAAAATATTTTAAAATTGTAAGATTATTTTTGAGATAATAATGGTTTAGTGATACAAGTCTTTCTAATTCAAAAATACCTGGTTAAAGAAGTGGCGTCATATGTTTTCCAACGGTATTTGCGCGTAAGTGAATATAACAAACCCAGCGTGAATTCGAAATCGACTCACCGATTAACAACTCTGAGGCATTATCTATTACACCGCCTGCACATCCGCGATTACATCCTCAGATATTCCCAAAGATACTTGCACGCAAGAGAATATGACTACCTCAACTGGAATTGGAACTCGATTCTCCGATTATCCATTACACCACGCTTACAGCCTCGGATATTACAAAGCAGTCAACCATCTTGGTACTGACAAGGCTCGACGTTGCTTAACTTCGGTGATCGTACGGGAACCGATGTTTTCAACGTCATATGGCTTTAAGCCCCTTCCTCCAGCTTGTGGTATGCCGGTTTATATTTTTTATGCATATTACATATTCAAAATAGCTTAAACGTATACTGACATTACACATTACGCGCGTAAAATCGTGTACGGTTATATAAATATATGCGCGCGCAAACTACTCGCACACACGAAGATACACATTTCCGCCTCATTATTCGGATGAGAAAGAGAGGGGTGAGGGCGACAAGAGAAACATAGCATGTGAGTCATACACATACACATAAAACACACACATAAGACACACAGACACACACGAATGCACATCTTTAGACACGGAGAAACTATTTATTTCTCATCTTCCAACTGCCCCCGCTCGCCCTGTATTTTTAACCCTTGTCCTCAATCGATTGAGAATTGTCCCGCTACCCCCATCCCCGACACCCAAACAAATTATTATCGCCGACACTATTGATTTTCCAACTTAAAGGAGAACTGTTGCAGTTATATCCGTCCCACCCAGAGCTGGGCATCTTTGTTTCTTTCTTTCGTTCTTCTCTTTGTTTCTCTCCAGTGCTGCTGTCTTTGATGCTGTTGATTCCGTTTTCGGCTTGTATTCATCCTGTCGTGAGCTACTTTTGTCATGCCGTGTGTTAACTGACCTCAACTTGATTTCTCTCACAATTCTTTCAAAATATTAGCTGAAGTAACTCGATTTTCTTTCTTTCTTAATATTTTTTTCGTACATTATATGATTTATATTTACTTTATCTTTCCTTTTTTTTCTTTTTCCAATTCATTTTTACGCCATCTTCTTTTTTTTCTTCTTTCATCTGACATATTCATTTCGTTTATTTCTCTTTTTCTTTACATTTTTAAATTTTCTTTTGTCTCTGCTTTTTTATTTTCTTGATTCGGATCCTCTTATTTTCTTTTCCTTATGATATAATTTTTGTCTCTCATTTTTAGCTTACATCATTTCCTTTCTGACTTTTCAAATTATCATCATGTTTCCCCTTATTCCTCAAATTATTTTCTTTCTTTCTTGCATTCCTCATCAACTTCCATTCTATATATATATCCTTTCTGTCTTAACCTTCTTTCTTCTTAACCATCAAATTTCTATCGTTTCTTTTTCTCGTCAAATTCCTCTCCTATTTTCTTTCTTTTCTCCGTTAACTTCCTCATCCCTTTCGTTCGTTCGTTCGTTCGTTTGTTTGTTCCTTCCTTCCCTTCCTTCCCTTCCTTCCTTCCTTCCTTCCCTTCCTTCCTTCCCTTCCTTCCCTCCCTTCCCTTCCTTTCCTTTCCTTCCTTCCTTCCTTCCTTCCTTTCCTTCCTTCATTCATTCATTCTTTCCTTCCTTCCTTCCTTCCTTCCTTCCTTCCTTCCCTTCCTTCCTTCCTTCCTTCCTTCCTTCCCTTCCTTCCTTCCCTCCCTTCCTTCCTTCCTTCCTTCCTTCCTTCCTTCCTTCCTTCCTTCCTTCCTTCCTTCCTTCCTTCCCTTCCTTCCTTCCTTCCTTCCTTCCTTCCTTCCTTCCTTCCTTCCTTCCTTCCTTCCTTCCTTCCTCCCTTCCTTCCTTCCTTTCTTCTTCCTTCCTTCCTTCCTTTCTTTGCCAACTTTCTCGCCTATTTCCACACTTTCTTCCCGCCATTCGCTCTTTATTCCAACCTTTTCTTCTTTTCTATTCTCGTTCTTTTGGGACAAGCTTTATCCCGTTTTCTTTGTTTCTTTTGGTCCTTTCTTTCTTCCTTTCTTTCTTTCTTTCTTTCTGTCATATTCGTACATTTTTATGTCAAATTCCTCTCTTTTTTTTTCTTCTTTTGCATCATCTTAATTCCGATTTTCATTTTATTTCTTTTCCTACTTTCATTATTTTGTGCTTTTTTTTTTGCAATATTTCTTTTATAATAATCTTTAGCTTTGTTAGCCACAAAGAGTTGTAAAATTTACATAATGGAAATGGTTTATAATTATGGACGCACATGCCCAAATACCAAACTTTGTACTCAGGAGCTAGATATCCGTATTAGGCAAATAATTTATAATTAATTCAATGTTTGGCTACATTATTCCTGCGCTTCTGAGTTTAGTTGGTTATTTTCTCGGATCTTTCACACCAACCAATTTCCACTGAGGTTAGAGAACAAAATGAACTTTGACATTATGAAGAACCTCTTTCAGAAAAATGGATTTTGGCTTGTAGGAAAGGAAACCTTCACGGGATATATACTTCTATTTTCGTGTCCCATCAGAACATTGGCGATTGCATAATTCCACAAAATTCTGGAATTCTTAGTAAGTTTTGTCTTTCTGCTATTCCTCCGAATCCTTGATCTACCAACAGATCGTCAGGTAGCTTATTCGCTGTTTCCTCTGTCTCTCTTGTCTTCAGAACGATCTATGATTCTCCAAGACGTCTTTCTTCACTAGCTGCTCCCGTTATTTCAATTATCTCTTTCTGATTCTAACCAGAAGTGTCCTTTTTTGTTTGAATTTGTCTTAAGATTTCGTAGTTGCTCACATGAAACCCTCAGCATCCTTTTGTAGAACAACAGGTTTGTTGCCTCACGTCTCTTCTTCATCTGTAAGTAGATTGTTCAGCTTTCACTGCCACGTAGGAAAACCAATGTTTCATAACATCTCAACACTTTTATCTTTGTTTTTAGTCAAATTTTCTTATTTCTTAATACAGTGCTAGACTTTTAGAAGGCAGATGATAGTCATCCTTAAAACTCATACTAATCTCTTTGGGAACCAATTGAGAGTTGAGAAAAAGATATAATGCATACCCAGATTTACCAGAGAACCTTAAAATGGAGCTTCCACTGGTTGCCAAAACTGTAAATATTAGAACTAGAGAGACAAGACAATATTTGCGAAAACTGGAATTGTCCAAGAAGGCTATATTTTTCGTGTCTGATCACTATTAGATTCAAATTGTTTAAATAATTCTGATTTGACCGTACAAACAACAATTCAGAGGCACTAATGGGAAGTGCTGTTTTTAGCTATCGGAAGCCGCCATTTTATTTCCATGTTAAACCCGCCGGCCATGATCCTCCACCTCCTGAAAGTAAGTGGCACATAAAAGTAGAAAAAGAATCAAGGCGACTGTTAAGCACGATTTTCAATTACTTTCCATTAAGAGAATTGATATTGTAAGTAGCTTCCGTCTAAACGCCAGAGAATGACGGCTACTTACGTAATTTTGCATTAACCTCATAGTAGTAGTAATGGGTGGCTACTCGTATCTGAGTATGTCTGTCTGTTAGGACGGCTAACCACTCCCTATTCCAGACGCCTGCTCAGTCACATTTGTGTTAGTTAAACGCCCACAGAGAAAACCTGTGGATTATAGCTGAAGAGACCTTAGTTACATTTCCTGGGAGATAACGCATTACCTGGCGGGATCAACAGTCTGAATAATACCAATCTGTTCAAACCCTTGGTCACGAGGATTCCCAACTAGTCCCCTCTTCCCAATTTTACTCCCACGGAGGTATGGTTCTCAGCCACTTTCCAAACCGTCCTGGGCATGGCGACAACCTACATCCGCGTCCTGGGTAAGACGATAAAATACGCCCGACAGCAAGGCCTCTGATCAGGACGTTTTGAGGAGCGTGGAACCACCTTTTAATTGCTGGTTTTCCCAGGTCAACCCTGACCCAGAGTGGAAGCACCTGTGAGGGATCCAGCTATGGGCAAATAGTTAAGCCCCAAACTCGGATCAAAACACTATGAAAATGTAAAAATAGGCTTTATTACCAGAAATACTTTGTATAAAAAATTATTACCAGCAATACATTCTTGAAAAATAAATATTACCAGCAATATATTTAGGAAAAAAAATATTACCAGAAAATGGAAACTCTTACTAAAAATAGATTTTTGAAGAAAAAAAATAGTACCAGAAATAGATATTAAAAAAAATACTACCAACAATGAAAATTTTGTCAGCATTAAATAACCCATTGAGGTTGATATACCGTAAAACAAAACAAAGCCAATCACTTTCCAAAAGTGCCGCTCGATAAAAAAAATGCCAGGTCTCCTGATCAAAAAAGGGAAGTTCTAACCACTCAGTCACGTGTCCAATTAATATTCTGTTATGTCAGGTAATACTCTGTGTGATACTGCTACCTTGTATCTATGTACTATCTGCTGTATGGTCGGCTACTAAACCAGTATCACCACCATGCTTTTCTAGTAAAGAGAGCGGCTAATACACGCAACGGGGTTTAAAAGAAAACTTGTCAAAAGCTATATGAATCTTACCTAATGGCCATCAAGGACAATTGGATAGACTGGGATCCATAGCCACGTATTCAACCAGAGCATTGATGAAAGAGTATCGGTAGAAGGAGGGCTTCCTAGTCTAAAGTCAAAGGTCAAGACTGTGGATTCTCTTGACGGTTACGTGTCCAAGACCAAGGCGTGCGTTCAAGTTGGAGAATATCGAATATCGGCTGTGTTTTGACTTGGAGGGAGACAGGTTCTTCCAGGTGTACACACTACGCATGACTGAATGCCTGTACATAGAGGGAGCTGGTGAGGAGCTTAGTTGCGCACTGTCCTTAGAACAATCTGCGCTGGTGGACGAAATGAAGAGTTCAGTTCCAAATTCCAAAAACTTGAAGAAGGCCGGTGCGGACAACGACCGAAACGTTGTAAACATGGCAATACAGATGAACAATGTAAATAACTGCGGCTACCTCTATAAATTCCAACTGTAAGAGAGAGATAGAGAAATATATATATATATATATATATATATATATATATATATATATATATATATATATATATATATATATATAGAGAGAGAGAGAGAGAGAGAGAGAGTTAGAGAGGAAAGAGAGAAAGAGAGAGAAAGAGAGGAAAGAGAGAGAGAAAGAAAGAGAGAGTGAGATAGAGAGGGAGAGTTAAAGTGATAGAAGAATGGGAGATAACACTGGGTGACCATTAAATATACCATATTCTGTTTTCTGTTAACGTATAGATATTTTACACATAAATAAATGATTACGTAAGTAAGGGGATATGTAATAAGCTAACGCCAAGTACAATTTAAAATGTAAATTAAGATAGATTTTTATTTCCATTTGTCAATAAACAGTAAACAGTTAGTGTACAATGACGACAAATATTCATAAATTAGAAAATTACCTTTATAACAAAGGGTGAAAACGATGATTCTAGAAAAATGGAGAAGAAATAGAAAAGAAAAAAATACATAAAAAAATAGCCGCGGAAAAATTATGGTTTGGTTTGGTTTGGTTTACGGTATATCAACCCATTGGGTCATTTAATGCCGAAATTTAAAGTTTTTTTTTTTAAATAAAGTTTCGTATTTAAACAATAAAAACTTTTATTTTAAAGACTTGCTTGTTAGGGTTACCTTTTATTCATATTTTTGAAATCACTTTAATTTCTCATATATACTTACCTGACACAGGGCTCGTACCTGGGCTGGTGTTATCACGGCTACGATTAGCTTAGACCAGCTCTGACCAGCTTGGACTAGCGAGTGGACCAGAGAGAAAACACTCGGGTCCCCCCGTTAAAAACCACAACCTTACTCAGTAGGGGGGGGGGTCAAGTAAATATCCACTGGAACTGAAATATGTAAAAATGAATCAATATTTTTAAAAAAGTTCTTTAAAGTTTCTTTTTTGGTAATATTTTAAGCGGATTGAATTAAAATTCTGCAATTCATCAGTGTGTGTTTTATGGTAAGTAGTTATAACAAAAGGTTTTAGTTTGATTTGGTTTGTTTAACGGCATACGAACTCCTCATTTAATGTCGAGATTAATTCTCTTGGTTATTTTTTTTTATTAAGCTATTGCTGGAATTTTTTTTTCAGTTAGGCACATATTGCTCGAATTATTTTTTTTTTTCAGTTAAAATCTATTTCTGGAAATTTTTACTATAGAAATGTATTTTTATACTTTCATTGTTTTCTGGCGCCAGTTTGGGGGTATGCTATTTGCCCATAGCTGAGACCCTAACAGTTGCTACCACCCGGGGTCAATGTAGATCTGGAAATAACTGCAATTAAGAGGTGGTTCCACGCTTCTCAGAACTTCACGATCAGAGTTCTTGCTGACGGATGAAGTTCATTGTCATATCCTGGACGGATATAAATTACGACTGTATTTTGTGCAATAAACTTATTTCTATTTACACTATTCACATTGTTTGGACATTTTTCATTCAAACTGTCTGGACAATGTAAATAGTGTAAATAGTTACAATACTTCAGAAATATAGATAAGCTGATTTTTCTATCAATTTCGTAATAATAATAATAATGAGAAGAAGAAGAAGAAGAAGAAGAAGAAGAAGAAGGAGGAGGAGGAGAAGAAGAAGAAGAAGAAGAAGAAGAAGAAGAAGAAGAAGAAGAAGAAGAAGATGTGGAGCAGGCGAATATACAGAAGTAACAAGAGCTGACAAGCCAAAACAGAGAAATAGAGAAAGCAGAATTTCTGGTTGTCCCTTTTGTGGCTGGCATACTCGGAATATTCCGGGAATCCTCCTGCTTCATCAGACTCCTTAAGGATACCTGAAACCCTTGTAGCTCTTGTACTGATGAAAGTTTTGTGTGTCTAAGCTACGAGTAGGGGCTGTTATATGACCTTTATTGGTCGGCCGAATGAGTCGGACAGGGTATGAAATAATAATAATACATACATACATACATACAATAGTACATAAAAAATATCTCGGTAAAGTAACTGACAACCTTAGGAAATGCACAGACCTCTGGATACACGTTGCTAGAATTTGGGGTGATGTGAGCATTATTGTCGTAAGTACCACTAGAGCTTTGCAAATGCAAAAACAGACCTCTGGATACAATAATAATGTAAACCCCAGAAGAGACATACAGAAAATTGTCTTTATTAAGTGATGTAAGGAGAATTTTGTCTATGTAACGCTAGCAACTTCATCGGAGATAAAAAAAAAAAAAAAAATAACATGAAATGTCAACACACCCGACCTGCCTTAGGTCTTTCCCAGAAGGTAGTGTGTCATAGCAGAAATCGAATGATGATGATGATGATAATAATAAATAATAATAATAATGATAATAATAATAATAATAAAATAATAATAATAATGATAATAATGATAATAATAATGATAATAATAATAATAATGATAATAATGATAATAATAATAATTATAATAATAATAATGATAATAATAATGAATGATAATAATAATGATAATAATAATAATAATAAATAATTTGGCGAGAGAAGGTTAAAACAATTAGAAAGTACATAGACAAAAATAAACTAGCCAATGTATCATGCGTGTTAAACCGATTGACAGAGGCTGAAATTAATGAAATAAAAGAATTGCAACAAGAATAGATGAACCAACAAAATGAAAAGGAACCGGAATCGGGAAAAAAAGTAATAACATCACACAAGCCTCAGGTCATAATGAAAAAACCGAAATACACACAAATCACTGTGAAGATAATGCTGAAAATTTAGAAATGTTGGAAAGGTATGATCTTAGTCATCAATAATAAAACGAGTTCAAAATTCATCGAACAGAATTATTTCACAGAAAACAAGATTAATATACAAGAAGCCAAGGATGAAATCATGAGCCATATAAGTCAGATACAGAATATTGCAATGGAGGAACGAGAACAACTCCCAAAATTACAACCAACAAAGCATAACCTCAAAAACTATTAAGCTCTATAATGCAGCACTCAAATTGATTCTGGATGAAGAAGACACTATATAAATCTCAATGAAGCAATATATAATAATAGCAGCAACAAATAAACTGAACATCAAAGTAAAAAAAGGCAGTCTCAAAAAGATCCACCTTGGAAAGAAAAATAGAAAAAGAAATTGAACACCTTAGAAGTGAATTATCAGTACTGATGAACTAGCAAGAGGAGTAAATGTAAGAACTAGAAAAAGGCAGAAGAGTCGAAAGAAAATACAATATCAGGAATGAAAATGAAGTCCTATCAACTAAAGAAAAAATAAAGCAAACAATACAACTGAAGGCTCAAAGAATATAAAAAAGATCAAGATTCTATAGACAAAACTTTCAAACCGATGCAAAGAAATTTTACAGGGAAATAGGTAAACAAAGAATTGAAGTGACAGTCCCCCCAAATGGAAGAAGTTATACAGTTCTGGGGAAAAATATGGGGCTTGCCCTAAAGAACACAACGAAGAGGCAGATTGGATTGCAAGAGTTAGAACGAATGAAAAATAAACCAGAACAGACATGGGCGGGAATCACAGAAAATGTTAAATGTGCACTGAAAAAGTTGGAAATTAGGAATAGATAAAATTCCTAACTTCTGGCTATATTATTTAAATACAGCACACAAAAAACTCGCCAAAGAACTTCAAGAAATGGTTACCGATCCAACTAAAATTCCTGTGGATGACCAAAGGAGTTTTTTTCTTCTACCCAAAAATAGTGACACAAATATTCCGAAAACTATAGACCAATTACATGTCTTCCAACAACATACAAACTGTTAACATCTATTTTAACAAAACAGACATATTTCTTCTTGGAAATGACATACTACCAAACAAAAAAAAAACGAGGCTACGGGATGTAAAGACCAATTACTTATTAATAGGATGATCCTGGAAAACTGCTTCCGTGGAAAAAAAAATCTTAGTATTGCCTGGATAGATTATCAAAGCATTCGATAGTGTACCACATTCCTGGATCTTAAAGTCTTTAAGTATGTACTATCACCCGTTATCATCAATTTCATCAAACAATGTATGTCGATATGGAAACTACACTTTACCTCAATCATAAAAAATGGAACCTATAAGTCTGTAAACATCAATAGAGAAATTTCAAGGTGAATTATTTTGATGTATTAACCAGCCAACTTAACAAGACAGAATGCGGTTACAAAATAGCTCAAAAGAAAAAATAAACCATAATGGATGACTTAAAATTGTAATAATAGCTGGAAGGTCTTCAATGCTTCAATTGGAATGAAATTAATTTGGATTAATAATAATAATAATAATTTAGACCCTGCTGTAACAATAAAAGATTTAGAACAAGGAGAAGCTTATAAGTACCTAGGTGTAAAATGAGAGTGAAGGAATTCACCATAAGAAAATGAAAGAAATAGTGCGTAAAGAGTACTATAGAAGGGTACGACTGGTATTAAAAAACTGAATTGAATTCTCAGAACAGAATTATGGCCATTAATAACCTTGCCATCCCAGTGGTCCAATATAGTTTCAACATCTTGAACTGGACTCTAAATGACATCAGACAAATGGATTCTAAAACAAGAAAGCTTTTTCTAAGTATAAGATGCATCATCCAAAGGCTGATGTAGACCGTCTATACATACCCCGTAAAGAAGGTGGAAGAGGTCTTATTCAGCTAGAATTGTCATACAAGACAACAACTATTGGCTTACTAACTTACATGGAAACAACAAATGACTGGATGATAAAATTAGTGAAACAACATGAAAACAGAAAGAAAAAATATTCAATAATAAAAGAAGGCAGTAAATACAAACAACATTTACATTTAGTAGATTCTGTAGTAAATCAAAACAGAAGCCAAGAACCAACTATTGCAGCAAAAGATATGAAAAAAGAAAGCCAAGGATAAAGCCCTTGAACAGATGAAACAACGCTGGCAAGACAAACCTCTGCATGGCCAATATCCAGAACGTGCAAATAAACCCAATGTTGATAAAGTTAATACTCATCGATGGTTACGAGCATCTGGATTAAAGTCTGAAACTGAAGGCTTTATTCTTGCAGCGCAAGACCAGAGTCTTTTCACTAGGGAATTTTCAGGCAAATATCATACATAATAATGTGGATCCAAAATGCAGGTTCTGTGACAAATACCAAGAAACAATAGACCATCTAATCTCAGGATGTTCTATACTTGCCCCAAATGAATATAAAAATCGTCACGATAGAGTGGGGCAATACTTACACTGGACAATGTGCAAACACTTTGGAAAATGTGTAAGCAAACACTGGTATGAACATCGGCCAGCGCCGGTTACAGAAATAGAAGATGTCACCATTCTATGGGATTATACCATCCACACAGACAGAAAAATTGAAGCAAATAGGCCGGACATTATTGTCAAAAAACCAGAAAGAAAAAACTTGCCTACTAATTGATATGGCTTGTCCAGCGGATTGTAACATAGCAAACAAGGAATTTGAAAAACTATCAAAATACAAAAGACCTGGAAATTGAAATAGAAAAAATGTGGAAATTGAAAACAAGAATAATACCAGTGGTAATAGGTGCACTTGGAATTATAAAAATGGAACAAAACAACACATTGAAAGAATCCCTGAAACCCCAGCTTAAGAGACATACAGAAAATTGTCTTATTAAGTACAGCACACACACTAAGGAGAACTTTGTCTATGTAACGCTAGCAACTTCATCGGAGATAAAAAAAAAAAAAAAAAAAAAAAAAACATGAAATGTGGCCATAACAACACACCACGACCTGCCTTAGGTCTTTCCGCAGACTTGGTAGGTAGTGTGTCCATAGCAAATCGAATAATGATGATAATAATAATAATAATAATAATAATAATAATGATAATAATGATAATAATAATGATAATAATAATAATAATAATAATAATAATAATGATAATAATAATAATAATAATAATAATAATAATAATGATAATACTACTACTACTAATAATAATAATAATAACCAACTTGCTGATTAATGCTCTTACTAACATTTCAAGATGAGCACTATCGCCATCATGTTACTTACGTTTCAGTTGCATTCCAGTTTCAGTTTGCTGGGTGTGTTTCCTTTGTTTTGACGCGTTGATTACCAGTACAACCGTTTCTCTCAAGGCAAGCGGTGTTTGAACAAAAACCTGTATTCTTTTAATATTTTTCTAATTTTTTTGTATTTGTATGCAGTTAAAAAAATAATTCGATGAAAACAGACAGACTGTCGAAATGTTAAACACTGTGTATTTTCTTTATATCTTTTTTTTTATTTTTCTTAAGTCACAATTTTCGCTAATTTACGTGCTATAATAATAATAATAGTGTATATGGAGGAAGTGTGGACTTGAGGTTGATGAGAAGTTGTACCGTCACAAACCAGAGAAGAATTGTACCGTCTAAGTGAAGATCTTGTTGGATTTCAGCATCCAAACAGATTGCAGCCTTGAAGGCACCCAACCAGAAATCACCGTCGTTGACAAAGGAAACAAGAAAATGCCGCCTCGTTGAGCTGTTTCCGATAACCACGATATCAAGGGGAAAATGTTCACTCAAGAAATGTCTTGAATTTGACATTGAAAATGGGACATAATCTGAAATCAATCATGGTAGCAGAAGGTTACTTACGTATATAGACGTACTTTGATCCCACTATCCGTACGAAGAAATTTGTGAGAAAAAA